CATTATATTCATGCAATGCACACAGACCAATGTATTTCCAATGTTCATTACCTTTAAATTTGATATTCATAAGTGACAACCAATGAAAACTCCAAATTTGGTATCTCAAAAAATTAGAATATTCTGAAAAGGCTGAATATAGAAGACACCTGCTGCCACTCTAATCAGCTGATTTACTCAAAACACCTGCAAAGGCCTTTAAAAGGTCCCTCAGTCTTGTTTTGAAGGCACCACAATCATGGGGAAGACTTCTGACTTAACAGCTGTCCAAAAGACAATCATTGACACCTTGCACAAGGAGGGCAAGACACAAAAGGTGATTGCTAAAGAAGCTGGCTGTTCGCAGAGCTCTGTGTCCAAGCACATTAACAGACAGGCGAAGGGACGGAAAAAATGTGGTAGAAAAAAGTGTACAAGCTCTAGGGATAACCGCACCCTGCAGAGAATTGTGACGACAAACCCATTCAAAAATGTGGGGGAGATCCACAAAGAGTGGACTGCAGCTGGAGTCAGCGCTTCAAGAACCACCACGAGGAGACTCATGAAAGACATGGGATTCAGGTGTCGCATTCCGTGTGTCAAGCCACTCTTGAACATGAAACAGCGCAAGAAGCGTCTCGCCTGGGCCAAGGACAAAAAGGACTGGACTGATGCTGAGTGGTCCAAAGTTATGTTTTCTGATGAAAGCAAGTTCTGCATTTCCTTTGGAAATCAAGGACCCAGAGTCTGGAGGAAGAGCGGAGAAGCACAGAATCCACGTTGCATGAGGTCCAGTGTAAAGTTTCCACCGTCAGTGATGGTGTGGGGTGCCATGTCATCTGCCGGTGTTGGCCCACTCTGTTTCCTGAGGTCCAGGGTCAATGCAGCCGTCTACCAGGAAGTTTTAGAGCACTTCATGCTTCCTGCTGCTGACCAACTTTATGGGGATGCAGACTTCACCTTTCAACAGGACTTGGCACCTGCACACAGTGCCAAAACCACCAGCACCTGGTTCAAGGACCATGGTATCCCTGTCCTTGATTGGCCAGCAAACTCGCCTGACCTTAACCCCATAGAAAATCTATGGGGTATTGTGAAGCGGAGGATGCAATACGCTAGACCCAACAATGCAGAGGAGCTGAAGACGACTATCAGAGCAACCTGGGCTCTCATAACACCTGAGCAGTGCCACAGACTGATCGAGTCCATGCCACGCCGCATTACTGCAGTTATTGAGGCAAAAGGAGCCCCGACTAAGTATTGAGTGCTATACATGCACATTCTTTTCATGTTCATTCTTTTCAGTTGGCCAACATTAGAGAAACAAACATTTTTTCATTGGCCTTTAGAATATTCTAATTTTCTGAGATACCAGATTTGATGTTTTCATTGGTTGTCACCTATAAATATCAAAATTAAACGTAATAAACATCGGAAATACATTGGTCTGTGTGCATTGCATGAATATAATGTACAAGTTTCATGTTTTGAATGGAATTACTGAAATATTTTCAACCTTTTGATGATATTCTAATTTACTGGCCAGCACCTGTACATTTATGCCACATTTACAAACTGCATTTGCATTTTTTGAGAGCGGTTGACAGGCGGTAAAAACGGTCAAAGCCTTTGATCATCATCCCCACGATGAGCAGGTTTATCTGAGAGGTTTAAAGCTAATGGATCCTGACAAACACTCTTATGCCTTTTGAAGGACAGGCCCAAGCAGAGAGGGTGGAGAGAGAAGTGGGTGGAAACAAGCATTGAGGAAGCTTTTTGTTCATACGGGGGATTAGAAAGCTCTCACAAGAAATAAAGGCTGGATTCTCTTTCCTTCACGTCTGGCTTCTTTTACTTTATCTTTTTCTCCACCCATCCTTTTGTTGTTCATCTTTTTGGTCCTGCTTGTTCCTCTTCCCTATTCATCTCTGTTCTTCTGTGATTCATCGTAGGACTGCATTTTATTTCTCTTTAATTTAAACCTGTTTTGTTGTATTTTACAGTATTCAAACAAAGCAGAAGAGTTTGATTTCCTCTTGATTTTTGGCACCGATTCAGCAACACCTGCTATTTACTTGTTTACAACATAAAGTCTTTTTATTTTTTATTTTAAAATCCTGTCAGTCAAACTCCATCTCTTTCCTCTCATCCTGGGCTGGAAAACATGTCACCTTTCTGTTTAGTTGATGTGAAACTAATTTGCATTGATTGGCATGCTCCTTAGGACATGCACCAGCTAGAAGTTTGTAAAGTGATGCGTTAAATGCAGCGAGAGCTGAGTTTATATGCCAGCCTCTGAGTCTACTTTCCTCTGAGCTTTTTCAAACCCAGTTCTTCCAATAAAATGTAACTTTTGCAAACTGAACTAAAAGTACTTTTTTCCATAAAACAACATGTAATATTATCTGAAACATTAGTGCTGAAACCAACAAATAAATGGATTGTAAGTTATTGTTTTATTACTTGGTTTAAAATACAAAAACACTGTCAATGTAACTAATCAGGTTTTCAAATGACAAAAACTCCAATTGATATTAGAGTGAATAAATGATTGACCGAAATAACATTCCCCGCCTAGTAAGAGTGTAGACTTGTTATTGTTTTGTCTGCTGTAGTAATCCTGAATTTATTTGTAGACCGTCAGCTCAGTTGAGTAATTATTTCCTTTGTTTTTTGCAGTTTAAGCAGGATTCATTGTCACAGTTAACTGTGATAGATTATTTTAACTAACTCTAATCACAAACTTATTTTTGAATATTGGTTATCAAAAAGCATCTGTGAAGTTAGGATTTCGCTTTTCTTTTAATTTCTTATTTTGATCCATCCCTGAGAAGTGGTGGGCTGCCATTTTTCTGGCACCTGGGGGGTAAATTAAAGGTTCAGTCTCTTCCCCAGAGACAGTTTGACACGGGACCTGTGGTGCCTGGAATCAAACCGCATACATCTTCCATTAAGCTCCATTCAGCCCCGTTCTGCTGATTGTGGTCCGAAGAAGAAAACATTTTGTTCCTCCTAACATTTTATAGACCTGATAAATGTTTGTCAATAAATACTAAGTAACACAAACATTGGTTGGCCAGTACATCAGGACGATATTTGCCATTTTTTTAATACATTGTCATTGGCTGATAAACCTCCTTAGTAAAGCTGATTATAAGTCAGGCACATCCCAGGGCAGCCTGGTGCTGCTGCAGAAGTTAATCTATATCCTGAATCACATCTGCATAATAAACGCTCTAAAAATGAATTTCAATGTTTATTTTATTTTATTTACCAGCTTGGAATATGAAATACTTTGCCAGTTAATTGATTTAACTTCAGTTAGATATCTGATTTTAACACTGAGCAGCGCAAAAAGAATTAAGGTTTAGCAGTTGGTCAAATTCGGATTTGAAAATGGATTCAGCTTCAGAGGTTTGGTGCATCAGCTGCTGTTAGTGGCAGCAGTAGAATGGGTTGTGCAGTAATTGGGGGATTAATATCCCTGTGGAAAATTCTGCTGTTGTGTCCTTGAGCAAGACACCTCACACTCCTACCCTGCTGCTGGTGGCTGGAGAGACCTGAGGAGCCTTAGTAGGGCAGCCTCTCCTCTGTCAGCGTGCCCATCACCATCAGTTTGTGAATGTGTGTGTGAATGGATGAATGACTCTGAAAGGCGCTATACAAGTGCAGACTTGGAAAATTGGAATTAAAATAGAAAAAGTTATGATGAATGATAAATGACTTGCACTTGCATAGCACCTTTCAGACTCGGAGAACTCCAGAGGGCTTTACACTGCAGTGTATCCTTTATCCATTCACACACTGGTGATGATGAGCTTCATGGTAGTCACAGCTGCCCTGGGGCGCACTGACAGAGACGCCATCAGTCCCTCCGACCACCATCAGCAGGCAAGGCGGGTTAAGAGTCTTGCCCAAGGACACAACAGCAGAGTTCTCTGTTCAGAGCCAGGATCAAACCTGCAAACTTCTGATTACTGGACAACCCTCTCCACCTCATGAGCTACTGCTGCCTCGAACTGTCCAAGTGCACATCTTTGGCCTCATTCACTGAGGTTGTCAAAAACCTCCAAGGTCAGATTGGAAACTCTATCACTTCCCTCCCTCACTGTACTTTCCTAGCAAAAGGATGGATCACGTAACACCAAAGAAATCCAACCAGAAGCTGACCCACAAAGCACAGCTGTGTTCCCTGATCCTGGTGGGAAAATCTAATCAAGAAAGAACACTGCAGGCTCCGATGTTGGGTTACAGTACAGCAACAATCGAGCGGCTCTGAAGGAAAGCACGTGCGGTCACACCTGACAAGTGTTACAGCACGATGAAGCCTCTTATTAAAATCATTAAAAACCTTGTATTTAATAATGGGGTGAAAGGTTAGCCTTGAGCACAGTTTCATCGCTACAGATCAGGGATCAGATTTCTGTTCTGTGATCAATTAAAATAGCATCTCATCCATTCTTCAACAGCATGAGCTGTGTTCCTTCTTCAGCAGAGCAGATGAAGGGAAACTCTTGTGTCTCTTGCATCTTATTTTTGGAAACATTGCCTCTGAGAAGCCTTGCTGTCTCTGTCATCATCACGATGAGTCACAGCCCACACGGCTCCAGGTGTAGATGTGAAGGAGAAGAGCAACAGAATCTGAGAGGTGATATAATTGTTAGGGTTCTTTCCAAAGGTCTATATTCCTTCTTTTCTATCAGAATCTATATGACCAGTTTATGAACAGTGATTTAATTATCGTTGTGCCGTTATGATTTTTTTATTTGCTAATGTCAGACAGGTCCATCCCTGTAGATCTCACAAATATGTAAATTGTGCACCTTTTCATTTGATTTGATCAACACAAAAACTAAAGTAAGTAGTAATTACATACTGAAATAATTTCAGTCTTCAGAAACCCAGAAATCCAAGGATTTCCAAACTGCTGAACCTTTTTCAATCTGTTTCTAATGACAGAAAGAGTCCACTTTATTTTAACAAAGCATTATTTTGTGTTTATTTTCTTCATGCTGCTGCAGATCTTATGGTAAAACTAGCGAAGGACAAGTTTGGTGCCATTCAGACGGAGTACCAAAAGGCAAGTACCTTCATACTTGTGCATGATTGTTTTGTTTGCTGCTACATCTCTAAAGAAGGAGGTTCAATATAAGGATATATTTCTAGTCGAGACTACTCTTGGATGTCAGAGCTGGCTTCTTGTTTCAAAGCTCTTTTTTATATGAGGCTCTTTCCAAAACTCATTCTGGGATTGTCTCAACTGAAGCCAGTTAGTGATGCTCTGAAATGAGCGCACCTACAGGAAGTATTATTGTGAGCCACAAATCTGGCGTTAAACCCAGATCATCCAAAAGAAAGAGATTTATGACCAAACAGAGGAATCAAGGACAAAGCTCAAAGTGAAAAGCTGGCCATTTGTAAAAGCAGTAGACTTTTGAAAGTAGACACACAAAGAGGCACCTTGAGGACAGAGCTTTGAAGGAGAGCCAAACGACGACAACAAGGCAGCCCGGCTGTACACCTACTGGCAGGCTTTCCACGCTCTTGATTGATGACATAAATTTATCCTCATGCTTCTTTTTATCCACCAAAACATGCCCCTTTCACCAGCAACTGTTTCTGACGGTTTTTAGATCAAATGAAGATCTTTGTCCTGCTCTTTACATTTTTCCAGAATGAGGTTTAACTAAGGAAGTTGACTGTCTGTGCGTTGCTACAAAGTGCACTTGTGTGAATTAGCATGCCTGCTTTGAATTATTTTAGTTGTCTTTCTGTTTTTCGACTTCATCATGTTGTGTATTGTGGCTTTGCTCTTTTCTTTGATGCTGCATTGCCTGTGTCTTCTGCATGCCTTCTTCATCTCGTCTGACTTCCCTCAGCCAGAGAACATAGTGCTGACCCTTCAGGTAAAGTCTGCACACTGGACTTCTAGTCCAATTTATCCCTTGTCTGACCACATCCCTCTGTTTTAGTCACCAGGATGGAACAAATACAGCCTAACCCGCTCTTTTCATTCATTATTATTTCAAACATTAAATAAGTTCAGCATGAAGCTGCTAAACCTAAGTGTAAGAACATTATGTAAGAACATTTAGGACTTATAGATAGCATATTATGAATTTTTCTTACAGAAACAATGTGTAGTTTTGAACCATTAATTTCTGGAAATATCCATCAAAATATTGTTGAAAATGAAAATGAAATGAAGCCCAGTTGTGGCTATATAACCATCAAAACTGGGTCTAAAATACATGGGAGCGGGTCTAAGTTTCTGGGCGATGCCATATTAGCTGCCATGTTTCCTTCTACGGGAGGCCATGAGGACAAAATGCATTTACTGATTTGTAACAAACAGTTACAACACTTTTGCCATTCTTAAATGTTGTTGTTTTACACATTTACATCATAACTCGTTGCCATTGATGAAAGGGAGTCTGATGTGCTTGATATTTAGCTAAAGCTTTTTGACCCTAATGGGTATTCTTTGGTAAGGCCTTACTCCAACACAAAAATACTGCCCGCTTGCAACAATTTAGGTATCTACTGCCCCCTGTCGCCAGGAAAAATACACAGTGTCACTTTAAGTTATAGCTCTATTGTAGATCCAAAACATGTTTATGAATTTATTTGCGCTAAATCCGCCTCAAATGAAGAATTTTGAACTGTTTTTATTCTTGACCGTTTCAGTACCTTCCAGAATGAGTCGATTCAGGGTTCTGTCACTTTAAGAAAACAAGCTGAAGCTGGCCACGCCCAGCCCTCCCTCCCTCAGGCTGCCTTATTCTGAGAAGATCTGATATCCAGAAGGGGCTTGGAGTAAAGCTGCTGACCCTTCAGCAGCAGCTCTGTTTTACACATGAAAGAGGGTTCCATGCTAAATTCCCCGTTTGTGACATCACAGAGTCTTTCTGAAGTGGCTTGTTTTAGGCACTTATTACCTAAAAGAAAATACTGACAGAAAATGGATGGGTGGTTTTCAATAACATTTGAAGTGTTTATAGAGGCAGTAAAGACTCACATGGCAGCACAAAAGTGAGTTTTGCATAATATGTCCCCTTTATTGGATAGTCATGTAGCCCTTTCACTTTCCATTACTATAATTTTGTTTTTAACTCATTCACTGCCAGCCGTTTCCTGATCACTAACAGCTGTCACTGCCAGCGTTTCTCACAGTTTTTATTGTTTTTTTAAGAGTCACAGAACGTTGCGCGCTAGGATGATGTCGACGCCAAAACAACCAAAACAAAGAGGAGACTCACCTCTTACATCAGGAAGAATCCGCGTGTTTTGAGCATTATCCGTTCTTTCATAATCCGTTGTCGAATTGTGATTGGCAGACGCTTTTCCGGTTCACGCCTCACTTTTTTTTTACAGGAACGGCCCAAAACGATCTCCTAACACATGGATGTTCTGCTTCCTGATCATGTGATGTGTGACGTATGCGGATGAAGATCGGCTTCAGGGCTGAGATGCTTGTTCTCAGCGCGGGGGCTCGTTCCGATGCTCAAACAGTAAAATAATGCAAATGACCACTTTAGTTGTCATTGGCAGTGAATGAGTTAAATCCATTAGGCAAAAGCTGCCTGCTGTTCCTCAATGCCTCAAAAACATGTTTATATTCATAGTAAGAGACATGCTTTCTAAGATCATTAATAAAAAAATAAATCTTTGATTTTGTTTTTCTTTTAGATCATTCATAAATTACATATTAAATAGTAATGGCTACTATCTTTAGCTTGCCATGTATAGCAGATCAGAACAATGAAAGAATATTATCACTTTGAAGTGTAACAATTACCTGGTATGTTGTAAGAGTACAAAACCCCACATAGTACAAACTGAAAAACGATTGCTTCAACTGAATGTGCATTGTTCTCAGCTGTGTTTAGTCCAGTTTCTATCCAAAAATGTCATTTATATAAATGACATAGATTTTTATTGGATTCCTGTAGCCGTTACCTAAAATATTCTGCTCAGTACCCCAATATCTTCACATGTATTCAGCTCCCTAAAATAAAATAAAAAAGAGAAGTTTTCCTTCTAGTTAGGCTCAAAAACTTCTTGTTTGTTTTCAATAAATTCAAAAACAAATCAATCATGCCTGAAAACACCCTTATACTAAAACAGCAGCAAACAGTGTGTAAATTTAGTTAACTCCAGCTCGCTGGTGTCTGTAAGATTATTGTGTTTAGTCTGAGCCTGAACATCTAAACTGCATCACAGAATATATTGTGTTTCTCTCAGTTAAATAATTCAAGACAGCTGGGTTCATACTTCAAAACCAATTTAGTATTTAGCTTTGATACTAGATTGGCTCACGGCCACAAATCCTAAAGATATGTCAGCATGGCTCGTGGCTGCTCCTGGCATTAAATCTGATCAAAGTTACAGCACTGCTCATCTTCATCACTGAGACATGCTGCCGCCCCATCATTCAGTTTGCTCTCATTGGAAGGGCACGGCTTTCTTTTAGGCACTTGCCAAGACTAAACTATAATCCAAAAATAGTGCAAGCTGCAGGCACTAGAAGAGATTTGGTGGCAAGAAATGTCATTTTTGACCTTTTTTTTATTTATTTATTTATTTATTTTTGCAAAGATTTACCCATTAAAAACTGTGCCCAGAAGCATAATGACAATGCAAACAAATTTGCATGTCCTCAACAGCATTCTGACACTGGAGCTTTTAAATGACTAATCTAGATTTTAACGCATTCCTTTCTTTTGCCAATATTTGCCTCTCAGCTTAAGCAGTCGCTGAAAATGTTTCATGATTCGTTCACCAGTTTTATTTTTGGTTAGACTTTTTTATTTTAAGCAACTTGCAGCAACTGTAGTCGCCCAAACATCCCTAAGGCTGTATAGCTATCCATGTTAGCTGAAAGCACACATCTGAAGAATAAAAATAGAAAATAGTGAAATATTTTTATTAACTTCCAAACTGTTTTCTAATTGAAGGTCAGATGAGGTAGATGAAGACGCAAACCTGTAATAAATGACAAAAGGTAGATTCTGCATTTTAGTGCCTCTGATACAAGCAAGCCGAGAGTTGTTGACTGATGAAATGTAAGTTTCCTTGTTGATAACTTAAACTCAGTTCACAGGGCAGGATTTTAAATTTTTTGGCAGATTTTCAAAGCACAAGAGAACACACACACACACACAGGGTGATAAAAAATAAAGCACTTACTGTACCAGTTTTGGTCCTACATTGTGCAGCGACTCATCAGCTATACACAACCCACTTTCACTCACTAACCCTCACACCCAGACATTATCCAGTCAGGAAATCTCACAAAATAAAGTGTGACTTCAAAGTAAACAAATAAACAAAAAAAACAAAACTACGCGTGAACCGATTTCACAAGGAAACATTCCCCAGACAGTTGGGAAACAAACATGATGGAGGAGGAGTGTGCTTTGTGCTTCTGTCACTTGCTTTCTGATTGGCTGGAGGTAACAGCACTCGATTGTCCCCAAAAATCAGACCAAGAGAATCCAGTATGTTTGAAAGCCTAGATTCAGGATCAGAGCAGCCGTGATGTTCTTCAGAGCAAAGCAGAGCGCCCATAACACACAGGAATATCTAAAGAGCCATTACGACATTTACAACAAACATTTCAAGTTTGTCGGAAGGAGCCGGGCTGGTCAAAAATTGTCATGATTGTCCAACTGTGTGAACTGGGCCGTTAAGGAGATGAGGTAGAATTAAAGACAGTACTTTAGGTATAATAAACCTGTCAGAACTGCTCCAGCCCCAAGGTGTCATCAGCCTAAGTTGGTGCCTCCTGATGTAAAAACATGCCTACCAAAACTAAATTTAATGTTTGTTTCATTAAAAAGCTTTATACTGAATTAAAGGCAATGGATCTTCTTCTCACTGCCAGTGGAAACGTCTGTTTAGGTTTCAGTCCAGTGAACAGCAAAGGTTTTGTTACTCAGTGACTCAAAGAGAAGGTGTGGCCGAGATAAATCCTTGTTATTAGTACACCGGTTAATAATGTTAAACACGTGTTACTTGTGAGTAGTCATTAGACACAAAACAAGTCTTTTGCTTGCTTTTCTGTAAGATATGTTTGGGATTCTTTTTGCTGCATAAAAGAGGTTTTTCTAACCTGATGCACTCATCCTTGTAACTTATGGGCCATTCCCATCAGTACCGGGTCGGCCCGGGCCGGGTAGCCCCAGTCGGCCCCAGCCTGGCCCGGTTGATTCCACACATCCTTGCCTTAAGCCCATGTGGGCTGATTCTACCCACCAATCAGAGGCTTGCTCTAATGGAAGGTGTGAATTTGCTGTCAGCAGTGGGTGTGTTGGCCCTGGTCGGCCTGAAGCAGACCCCCTCGAGAAGAGGGCTGAGAATGAGCCTTGGTTGGCCTGGAAAAATACCAGGCCACCCAGATATGTAAACAACCTACGCTACCCGGCCCGGGCCGACCCGGTACAGATGGGAATGGCCCATTTGTCACTTGTCGAACCCTAAATAATCACCTAAACCATTCTCTGCCTCTGCTGATCATCAAAGGGGTTTTCCGGCCTTGTAGTCAAATCCAATCAAAGCTGGATTTTCATTGGGAATGTACTCTTTCCTCTATCCTAAACTGGAAAACCTGTAACATATTTTCCTAAACTTCAGATGCATTTTCATCGCATGCCCTGTTTGTGTGTAATAACAATGATCTTGTTTCTTGCAATAATGCATTTAAGGAATCTGTTATTAAAATAGCTCATGGTGTTAAGAATAGGAGGAATCCAAAGGATATTCCTGCAGCGAGTATAATGAAACACATTCATTGTTTATGCGCAAATAAATCCCTTTTGATGAAAGAAGAGGAACCGTAGCGTATTTATAGATTTGCTGTTCATTTCTTCATCGGCCTTCATGTGTGTCCTTCCCTGTTGTTTTTTTTCTTTATTAATTTGTCCTTCGAAATGTTCCCTGTTTATTTTGTTCCTTTGATTTTGCTTCCTTTGCCACATTCACACTTTCATACAACCTCTGCTTCATTCTCTGTCTCACATCTCCTCTTATTCTTCCTCCGCTGACTCCAGGCCATCTACTACGAGATAGGCTTCCTCGTATGTGCGGCGGTGGGACTGATGTTCATTGTTCTTGTTCCGATCGTGGGGCTCTTCTTCTGCATGTGTCGCTGCTGTGACAACTGTGGTGGCGAGATGCACCAACGCCAGAGGAAGAACGCAGACTGCCGGCGTGGCCTTCTGGGAACTTTACTCTTCTCCACTTCACTTGTCATCACGTGAGTGTGACACGCACGAACGACACTTCAGGAGCAGAACGCCCAAATACCTTTTAAAGATGCGTATTTCAAGTGTACGTCTGAATGCATTCATTAGATTGTGTGCACCCTGCGTCCCTATTTGTTGACAGCGTTGTAGCCATGCACGTGCACACAGAATCATGCACACTGCTCCTCTGGTCAAACACAGTCATCCGGGTTTACCATCCCCCATGCTGTTTGCTATATATAGTAAAGTCCTTCTGTAAATGTGTGTGGCAGCACCCTTCATACTTGTGTTCAGTCTGAGCGTTGGTCACAATAACCTGCAGGGAATTCTTCCAGAGAGCTTCATCACGTCAATGCAGATCCCCCCCCCTGAAATCTGATGATTAGATGATGTGGGTAATTCAGTTTCCTTTTAACCTCCATGTCCTCCTTGACATTTTTATGTCCATCTTAATGCATGCAGCATCTCCAGCCTGGGTTTTATTGTCTTTCTGAAACTGCGGTTAAGAGTTTAAATGCTCGTTTTCAGCTCTAGGGGAATAACTTCCTCTGATGAGACTGTAATGCATGTGGCCAAGTGAAATTAATATAGTCCATAGCTAATTCTGTGGTACAGTTGATCAGTGGCTTTAACTCAACCTGCAGCTGTTTTCAGTTTGGATCCTGGCAGCCCTAACGGCCATCATTGTGTTCTTTTACGCTTCTCTGCCCTTTATTCTCCTAGATGTGCTAATTAGGAGTTTTTTAATACCGTTTTAAACGTGTTCAAATTAGTTTATAGGATTAATTCTGTATACTGCTGGCCAGACATAGACATTTTAAAATTGTTTTTGCTATAATTTTATTATAACTGTTTTGCCTCAAAGGGATTATTTGTGTCTTGGCGGTTTTTATGCAACTTCTAGGATGCTGCTCTGCTGTTTATCTGTCTTCCATGTTGCCACTGACTTTAAAAACGAGTTACACCTTCAAGGTGTGTTTGTTGATGTAATACTGAAAATTATCTGTATGGTTTTTAATCTTTTAATGACACTTTTGCATACCTTGCACATGTCATGAGGACTCAATTCAATTCAATTCAAAAATACTTTATTAATCCCAGAGGGAAATTGATTACCAGCTACCTCTCCTCCTACTGGGACATTCCTGTTTGTCACAGCTGGGCTAACTTAAATTGAAGCAAGTATTTGCACCGATGTTTAAAGTTTAATTACATATGATAGGAGATATGTGATGTTAGCTTTATGAAATCATTTAGTTATTTTTTATTTTGGTATCGGAAATTAAGTGTTAAAGGTCAACTTCACTGAAAAAAACTTTAAAATACAATTTCTTATTTTAATCAGTCTCTGAGTTTTTCATTCAGGCTGAACATGAAATAGTCTCCTACACCTATCTCCTGCATTAGCTTCTGATAGAAAATAGACGGTGAAACTCAAGGATAAAAAAGTCCTGACAGATCCACGTCTCACTGTCACTTAACATTCATGGACTCACCCATTATGACTCATGACGGGGAAGGCTGTTGTTGTTTTAGCAGCCAGGAAACAACAGGGAATGTCTCGACTATCAACAGCTAACCATTAGCATTAGCAACTCCACCGCATGGCAGAACTCCTTCAGGCTTGTGTTATTTGTGGAGATAAAACATCAACCTTGCAAAGCAAACAGAGTCAGTGGTACAGTGGCCTTGCTGCTAGCCAATCAAAAGACAGATATCTAAATATCAGGGACTCCAAATCCTGTCATCCGAAGCTACTTTCACCATCCAGCTCACTTCCAAGTCCTCAAACAGGCACAGTGGAGATTTCTCTTCCCTGAGAATGACTTACAAGGCATTCATTCCTACTGGAGACTGCTGCCAATGCTTCAAATATGAGTAAAGTTGATCTTTAAGCTAAATCGGTGCAGTAGGCTGATATTAAATATCTGCACTCACAACTTACCCTCAAAAAAATAAAAGATACAGTTGGGTGCAATATTTAAAAAAAGGTTAAGCAGATATATGAAAACACATGATGCTCTCTCACTGTTGGTTTCCATTCATTGTCTATTTGTTAGATGCTTTTGTCAAAATGTTAAATCACTTCCTGATCGATGTAGACTGCATTTTCTGCTTGTTCCTGAATAAGTGACAAATCAGTAGAAAACGTTTGACAGTAAATAGATCAGTATCATTTCAGAAAACAATTTTAGACAGACCCTCTTAGCTTTATCCACTTTTTGCCCATATTTCTATTCTAAAGTCAATATAAACTCACAGGGTTGCACACATCAATAAACTGGGTTCAGCTTTAACATGTAAAACAGCTGAAAGCCTTGGAAATGTCACCACTACGAACCAAAACAATCAGTCCTGGGTAGTTTATAATCACATAGTAATGAAAATCATTTATCACAAAACAGAAGACGAGAAAGTCAATCTTCCTGCCTCTGGTTTCTGTCTCAGATGCTGGTGATGCAGCTTGACTTTAAATGCTTTGAGAAAGCTGGATTTGCTTCTTTAGCTCAACTGAAGGGATCCAAGTGTGTGCTCAATTTGATGTTCTTTGACTTTCTGTCTTTTTATTGCAAGGCATTCCCCAGCAATACCCTGGCAGCCTAGACACAAGAGTCTGAGAGCATCTTCACAGCTCTTATTAACTCTCCCCAGCTACCAGGCAGAGATGCAGCACAGGCTCTAATGAAGCAATTACAGCAGCACCGGCTGCTTTTTACTGCCACAGGGAGGCTGACAGCCAGGAACATAGGAACGGATGGATGACATTTTTTCTACAAAGTGTTAAAAGCAGATCAAGATGCGGAAGACATCCAGGCAAGGGTGAGAAGACTGAATAGTCACATCATAAGCCAATAGGCAAGTAAAAAAGCCACTTTATACTTTATGTTTGAAGTAGTCTTTGTTGAAGAGTTTGCCGATTTCCCTTCTTTGGGGACCGGGGGCTGGAGTCCGACTTATCATGGATTATCTGTTGAATCATTTTCTGATGTTTTGATCTCACTTTACAGAAAATGTTCTAAATGAAAGATCAGTACTACCAAAATAATGCCTTCTCCCGAGGCTGTCTGTGTTTTGATCTCATGTCCAACAGATGCTGATGCCCAGGTTACACTGTTAAAATTGAATCTGCCTTAAAGGCTTGTGGGCTTCATGAGATATTTCAAACAACTTGTAAATATCACCTGGTATCACATTTTTTATTTGAAATTATTAAATTCACTCTAGTATAATAATGGCTACACAAGGGAGGAGCAGACGAGTCATCGTTGTCTTTAAATAATACTCATATCAAGAAAGAAAACAGCATAAACAGGACAAAAACAAACTGTATGCACTTAGCATCCATTTTCTTAGATTCCATGTATTTCACACAAACAACTAACCGGCCAATCACATGGCAGCAACTTGTTGCATTTAAACATGATAAACAAAGTTAAAGACCAAGTTCCTTTTTTTTCTATGCATTTGCTGTATTTTCCATAGATTAATGCCTTGTGAGTCAATCTCTTTAGAGAAAAGCTATGGCGCTACTGTTTCAGGAAGTAGGCTTAAGCCAGAGGAGAGGTGAGCAGAACAGGGCAGGTTTTGGAGTCTTACTTCCTGATATTCACACATCTCGCCTCTAATTGGCTAACAGTAACATGAGTCTACCTCTTAACTCCATTTACTTTGCAATATTGATGTTTTATCCTCACAAATAACACAAGCCTGAAGGAGTTTTGCTGTGTGGTGGAACATGCTAATGCTAAAATGTAGCTCCTACTAGCTGAGATGTGCTCTGCTGTCTTCTGGACATTAAATCAACAACAGCTAAGCTTGGTGAGTCCATGAATGTTCATTTTCAGTGTGACGTAGAAATTGCCTTGTTTGTTTGGACCCAAGTGTTTTCCTGTGTTTTTTCCATCAGCGGTGAATGCAGGAAATAGGGGTTGAAGACTATTTTCAGCCTGCATGTTACACTCAGAGTGACTGATGACATTTAAAAAATAACAAGTAAAAACAGTTTCTCAGTGAACTTCCTCTTTAAAACTGAGCATCAGAAGAAGAAGAAACACAGCAGACTATGTTTGGTGTGTTCGGAGTGAGCTGATCTCCTTGGAAGCATGCTGGATTAGGGTTAACAGCCACTTTGTTGCGATGCTAGAGGGCTGCGTGTAGCTTTCTTTTTTACCAGTGCAATAAAAACCATCTTAAAAATATGCAAATGCTACCTGTAACTACATCATTGCTTCACTTTTCAAAGGTGACAAGGTCTGCAGAGCTGTCAGACTGGATACAGGAGTGAGTAATGTCCATCTAGAAGCGCTGCAGGGATTTAGGTTTGATTCACATGAGCAGTTGTCATGCAGAACATAAATGCCCTGTTTTGTTTTCCTGCGCTACACAAATAACAACAAGAGCTGCCAAACGTACAGCTGGTGCAAAGCTCCATTCCTTCTATTTGTCTTCACATTTTACAACCGACAGACTGAAAATCTGTCCAGGCTTTGAGCAAAAAATGACAAGAACACTTTGGCTAAATATTTATAAAAGCATATACACCATAGTCAAACACAGCTGTTGTTGTACTTTTTAATCAGGTTATCTAGAAAACATCTGAATTCAAAACAATCATTGCTAGACTTGAATTAATTACCAGTTACTTAATTTAAGCCCTTCTTCCTGATTGGATCCTATTAGAGATTTGTCCGTATGGTGGGAGGAGCGAAAGGAACGTAAGAGCAAAAGAGGAACACCACTGTGAAACAAATCAGCATTACTCACAATTAAGAGAAAATGATAGGCTCGTGTAAAAATCATGTATTTATGAATATCCCTGATTACATGTTACCTGCTTTATTGTTGAATGGTGAATCTATGGTAAAAAGTCAGTTCTACTCCCATATTATCTGCATTTACTTTGTTTTTGATTGAACTATGACCGTAACATTGTGCCTGGCAATGTGGGTCTCACTAGATGATATTCTCTATATCTAAAAAAAAAAACAAAGCAAAAAAAAAAAACAAAAAC